GCATTACTTTGCTGGCATGTGAAATGAGTGCAATTCCACAGTAGTTTGAACATACTTTGACATTGTCTTTCTTTGGGATTGGAGTGAAAACTGACCTTTTCCAGTCTTGTGGCCACTGCTGAGTTTTCCAAATTTGCTGGCATATTGAGTGCAGCATTTTTCAACAGCATCATCTTTTAAGATTTGAAATAGCTCACCTGGAATTCTATCACCTCCACTAGCTTTGTTCATAGTGATGCTTCCTAAGGCCCACTTGGCTTCGTCCTCCAGGATGTCTGGCTCTAGGTGAGTGATCACACCATCGTGGTTACAAGGGTCATTAAGATCTTTTTTGCAGATTTTGTACACAATTTGTACACAGGAAACTGGGCCACTACCTGACACTGTACACAAAATTAACTCAAAATGGATTAAAGACTCCAATATGAGATGAAAACACATAAAACTCACAGAAGACAATGTAGACAGTAAGCTCCTTGACATCATTCCAGGCAATAGTTTTTTGGATCTAACCCCAAAAGCAATGGCAAGAAAAGCAAAAATAATCCAATGAGTCTGCATCAAACATAAAAGCTTCTTCACAGTGAAGGAAACCATGAACAGAATAAAAAAGTCAACCTAGAGAATGGGAAAAGATATTTACAAATCTTTATATACAAAAATTTACAAAAACAATATTCAAAATAAAGAACCCATATAACTCAATAACAAAACAACAAACAATCCAACTGAAAACAAGTAAAAGTTCCAAATAGACAATTTTTTGAAGAAGACATAGAGATGGCCAACAAACACGTGAAAAGATGTTCAACATGACTAATTATTAGAGAAATGCTAATCAAAACCAAAAGTATCACCTCATATTTGTCACAGTGGCTTTTATCAAAAGAACAAGAAATAATAAGTGTTGGCAAGAATGTAAAGAAAAAAGAACATATGCACAGCTCATGGGAAAGGAAATTGGTGAAGACACTATGAAAATCATATGGAGATTCCTTTAAGAATTGAAAGTAGAATTATCATATAATCCAGCAATTCCAATTCTTGGTGTCTATCTGGAGATGACGAAAACACTAATTCAAAAAGATATATGCACCTATATGTTCATTGCAGCCTTATTTACAATGGCCAAGATATGGAAACAGCCTAAGTGTCCATCAATGGAAAAATGAATAAAGAAGACGTAGTATCATAAACACAACGCAACTCTACCCAGCCATAAGAAAAGAATGAAATCTTGCCATTTGTAACAACACAGATGGACGTTGAAGAAGTTATACTAAGAAAATAAGTCACACAAACAAAGACACATACTGTATGTGGTATATTTTTAAAAAAGCAAATGAACAAACAAAACAGAACTTATAGAAAAAGGACTGGTGTTTTACAGAAAGGATGAGGCTGGAAAGGTGGGAAAGAGGGTGAAGGGAATCAACAGGTTAATTTCCAGCTATAAAACAAATTAGTAATGGGGATGTAATGTACAACATTGTGAATACGGTCAATAACATTACACTGCAAATTTGAAAATTACGAAGAAAATAAATCTTAAAAGATCTCATCACAAAGAAAAAATTGTAACTTTGTATAATGATCAATGGTATTTATAATTACTGTGATCGAAATGTATACAGATGTCATATCATCATATTGTACACCTGAAAATAATGTAATATATGTCATTTATACTTCAATTTTAAAAATCATGAAAATTAAACATATTTAAAAAGGAAAATAAATGAATAGAATAAAATTAGTTTCCAGTATGTTGGGAAATCAAATGAGTCTATTTTAAAACAAATCTAGCAATAGAGGAAGTTTAATACAAACTTCCACTCAGAAGGTAAACAAACGTACATAAGGAGCATTCCCATGGAGCACTCTGTCCCAAGGAACTTTGCTAACTCATCTGAGATAACCATAAATGGGCTGTTGGAAAATAATGCCCAAGGGTCTCAGGAATATAATAAAATTGCACACCCACAGGACACTCTTGATATTATCTACTAAGGTCTTCCTAAGCTGGGCTTTGTTCTTTGTGGCAGCTTTTTATCAAACGGAAAATTCACACATCTGAAGATATTTCTTAAATACTCATTTGCATACTCCAGTTTCTCGTCCTTCTCTGAAAATTTGAAAAAATCAAGTGCATTCCTTGATGTCTCACACTTCTTTTTCTTAAGTGATATATATCAAAATAAGGGTAAGTAAAAAGACTTAGGGAAGGTTGGAATGTGTGTACATCATAGTGCCAAATATTCGAAGGAAAACCAGAAAGCATTTCAATTCTGAGCACCTTCTTTAAACACTGGAAATAACTAGTTTGGTGTTGTAGAAGGAAACTAGATTTTTCTCGGTAATCAAACTCATTCTCTCATTTGAATCTACACTAAAAACATGTACATTTTAATAAACACTTTAAAAGTGTGAAAGTGAAGTCACTCAGTCGTGTCTGACTCTTTGCAACCATATGGACTGTAGCCTGCCAGGCTCCTCCGTCCATGGGATTTTCCAGGCAAGAATACTGGAGTGGTCTGCTGTTTCCTTCTCCAGGGGATCTTCCCAACCCAGGGATGAATCCTGGGTCTCCTGCACTACAAGCAGACTCTTTACCATCTGAGCCACCAGGGAAGCCCAATAAACACTAAATCTGACAAACATTAAATACCTGAATTAAATGTGTAGCTTGTATTCAATTATGTGAACATTTTTAATATGTAGTAAAAATCTGGAGGATAAACTTGTCTACATGATTGATCCAGATTTTTTGAAATCAGATAAAAAATTTTCTTTCTTCAATAATCTTTTTCCACATATAACTTTAAAGTCACTGTAAATATAAATAAAATACTGTGTAATGAAAATTATATAGTAAAAGATATGCTATAATAAAATTTAGTGGACATTAAACCTTCACAGATAAAGAGACCCCTATATGGTTAAACAGTGATGGAAAAATCACTGGAAGTACTTCAAAAGTTGGATAAAAATGTCATGATATTTGAGATTTAAAAGTAAAGAAATATCATGAGAATCACATGGAAAAGACGGGAAAGAGACCTAGGATAGGATTATAGCACTTAAACATACAGTTTTCAATCTTTAAATTTGAATTTTTACTCTCATTATCTCCTACCTGATTGAAGAAATTGATTGTTTTTTGATCATTAGAACATTGGTAGTTGTTAGGCTACAATAGGGATAAATGATTAATAACATCTTAAAATATGGATACTAATATTTGCTTTCTCATAAGGTTTAGGGATAGATACTAAATGAGTTAATGGATGTAAAATGCTTCCTGTGTTGTCTGACACACAGCACTCATTAAGGATTAGTTGGAATTATTATTTTATTAATGTATTTCATACACCTGACCTGGGGTAGTGTGAAATCAAAGAGCCATGGTGATATCTTGGCCCTGAGTAACCTTATGTGACACTTCCCAGAATGGCTTTGAGGATTTGATGAACTAGTGAATGTGAAAACTCTGCTCTGCAACCCTACAAATATAATCTGTTACCCCTAAACTGATAAGTCTCCTATCCTGAATAGGAGTAAAGATTTTCTTCCTGATCCAGTTCCCTAGACATAAAGATTGGATTTGTAGCTACTTTGCCAACAAAGGTCTGTCTAGTCAAAGCTATGGTTTTTCCTGTAGTCATGTATGGATATGAGAGTTGGACTATAAAAAAAAGCTGAGCACCGA